CTTTGTTCCTAGTAGCTTCTTGCTCCTAGTAGTAAGGCCAGGAGCTACTAGTAGCGTCCTTGCTCCCAGTAGGGATATCCCTTTGTTACTAGTAGCTTCTTGTTACTAGTAGCCTCTTGTTACTACTAGTAGTAGTAAGGGTAACTACTAAGCTTATGAAGCCCAAGTTGAAGATGCCTCATCAGTTGGTTTTCGGACATGGCTGCAAAGATCAAGGGCGTCCCCTCCGCCATGTCCTCGACCGATAATTTGAACCTGGTTGACGAGCCATTTTTGCTGCATCTGTTCGCAAGTTGAAACTATCATGGTTTCCGGCGTAGAAGGCAAAAAATGTGACTCGGTAGCAAAGAACAGTGTATATAGATTGCAACAAATATTGACTGGACAGCTAAGAACAAACCTTTCGCATTTGGTGCCACGGCAAAATCATCACGCACACCAAGATGCTTATATGCTTGCTTGATCTGCACGTCAACATCTTTGGTCCGAAAGAATCCGCTTTCACCTGTTCTCTCGTTGGTGCCTTTTTTCCAGTATCCTACGGGCAGCACAGCTGATACGAGTGTGTTTATGCATTTGTTCTTTGCTGCTTGGGCGAAAGCAATGATAGATGTCATCATTTGCTTTGGGGCTTCAGTGTCGATGACGAGGAAGTCCTTGATCTTGCGAGAGTTGAAGAATGTCGCCCCTTTTCAAGGTGATCTCACTGTCGTCACAGGCCTGAAAGAAAAACTCTTGTTCAAACGGCTCATGGAACGTGAAAAAAGAAACGCTACTAGGAGCAAGGACGCTACTAGGGGCTCCTGGCCTTACTACGAACGGAGCAAGGATGCTGCTAGTAACAAAGGAATCAGTGCACTGAAACGTGGGACCCATGGGGCCCATGGGGCCCATGGTGCAGCTCAGGATCTTGATAATCCTTCTTGGCACGGGCTTTGCTCGGTTCCTCGCTGTAACATCCTCTCTGCACCGCGCATTGCCAGGAAGGTCCGAAGTTCCGGATGAACTTGATTCCTTTTGAGACTTGCACGAAGTCCTTCAACGGGTACGAAGCAGGCAGAGCGAATGAGGCTTGCTTCCCGGTCCTCGACAGCCATCCAAAATGTACCATCCACCTGGCCGAAAAATGCTCTGCCTTTTCGAGCGAACTGAAGCGTTCTACTGAAGCAAATTGCAAAATGTTGTCCTGCAAAGTTGTGCGCATGTAGTTCATAACTTCAACAAAGCATCTCGGCTCTAGCCATTCCAGCCCGGTTCACACACACTCAACTTCTGTTCTTGGCTCAACAAAATGTCACAGGTTTCACTTGGTTTAATCTGTTCTTGGAATATTGACTGATTATAACTGAGACTGACTATCAGTTATTTTCCACTTAGGGATAGAATGGGTAGCTAGAACACCTTGAAACATCAAAAAGGTAAAAGGCAGCTAGAATGTAAATACCTGAGGCCAAGGCATCGCTAATAGGTTGGAGGCCATCGGTATTAGGTTGGAGGCAATCGCTATTAGGTTGGAGGCAATCGCTATGAAGGCAAACTTCCACACCTTATCCCAGTGTTTGTGTGTCTTCCTTTCAGCCTCCTTGACACGATGTCTGGTGTCTGTGGACATTTCCAGAAAGCTCCTGGACTTGGTCTACGCATGTGCTTGATGCCTTCGGGTGGCATTCAAAGCCAGCCATTTTTACAACCCTTCTTATTGAATTCCTGTGTGGCTCCCTTTCCCATCTTTCCCGTTGCCTTCCCTTTCCCTTCCCTTTTCCTTCCAGCTCCACATTCAAAAGGGAAATGCCAAGGAATACTGCAATCTACATGTTTATACAACCTCAAAGCAAAGACCTGTTGACGGACTATACCAAAAAAAATGTGTGTCCAAAATATGTCCAAGCGGTTAGAATGAGTGCCCATTGTATTCAAGTCACCAAGGTTTCCCCATTTGCGGCAACCAAACGGTCATTCCAACTAACAGTCTGTCGAAGTTTGTACTTGCACATTTTTGCAGGGCTGGGGTCCATTTTCTCTGGTGTTTGCACACCTTTGTGCGACTTACACAGCTACACGGGTGTCGACAAGGTTTCGTGTTGTGACTGCGCATCTGGGGCAGCCAAATTCCAAGGCTGTCTGGTTGAACCAATTGGAATTTTGGCAAGTTTAGTTCCTGTTGTCCTCCCTCCCTTCACAGTTTCCTCCCTCTTTGCTTCCCTAGGCTAAGAAAGCAAATGCAAACACCTTCCAGGCCTTGTTCACAACTCCAAGAGCTTCCTTCATCTCGTCTGTCCAGTTCGAGTCCGCGTCACTCCATGGCCCAGACCATTCACCTTCCACAGGTTTGAACGGTCACACGTATAGGATCCTTTTGAATACGGGCCATGCAAACGTGTGTGTGTGTGTGTGTGCCACGCACGTTGCGTACATCCGCCCACCCCGTGCGAGGCAAAGGACATTCCGGATTGCCCGGTGTGAAAGTTAGGTTTGTGAAGCATACACGCACATCGTTGGGTCTGGCATTGTCAGACGTGGTGGGTCTGTGGGTTGGAGCTGTCTTCGGGTGTAACGGGGCGAGCAAGGAAGGGGATGGTGAGGGCTTAGGCACAAGCTTGGTCTTTAGATGTACATACTTTCTCTTCGCGCGTCCCTTCTTGTGGGGCCATATGTTGAAGGGGCATTCATTTTTTCACAGGGGGTAGGTGACCAGCAATGTCTTGAGGTAGCTAGCAACCTAATAGCGATGACCTCCACCCTAATATTGATGGCCTCCAACTTAATAGCGACGGCCTCGAACCAACTTAGCGATGGCCTCCAACCTAATAGCAATGTCTTGAGGTAGCTAGTAGTGGGAGTTCTTAGCTTTGAGGAACCCTCAGCCGTAAGTGGGATGAGGGTCCGCCTGCGGACGTTGGGCCAGCTAAGGGGCGGGCAAGGGGCGAGGCAGCTAAGTGTTGAAGAAACTCAGTGGTGAAGCTAATGAAGGAGAAAGCAAGACATGAAAATATGACACAATATGTTATTCCCAAATGGATGGCCAACTAATTATCCTTGCCAATCAGCCCTGGATGGCTCCTTTGACACCTGGATCGTCCTGGGCAGTTCCTCCCTGCATAGCTTCCTTTCCAAGCACTGCAGAGCAGACTTTAGGCCATCGCTATTAGGTTGGAGGCCTTTACTAGTAACAAGAAGCTATTAGGAACAAGTGCATCGCTTCTAGTAACAAGTGCCTTACTAGTAGTAACAAGAAGCTATTATGTTATATGCCTTTGTCCTTTACGGGGTAATGGTATTTGCCTGATCGGCATGGGCCGTGGGGCCGTCCTGTTGTGGCTGACAGGTCCAGGATCGTCCAGGCGCGTCTGGTGGTTTCGCCCGTGTCGTTTGCACGAAGGGTAGATCGAAGCATCTGGCACAAGTGGTAGAAAGTCGCTTGGGCTGAGAGGGGCTACTATGGTTGGTGTTGCTACAAAATCATGCTCATTGTTGGAAAAGTGCCATTGTGTTTGCAACGAACATGCTGCTCTTTCCTTGGGTCTGGAATGACTTGACTTGCCTCTTGTTCGGATCGGGGATAGGCCACTAAAAGGCAACAACTCATTGAGCCAAAGAAAAGGACATCAAACAACCAGTAAAGAGTCCGCGCAGGTCTCGCCTGATCCCCAAGGATTTCGGATGCAAAGTAAGTGATGGCCGTTGCATTCTGCAATTCTTATGATCGAATAGCAATGACCGCCAATCAATCCAAAAGGCAATCCTCAGCTGCAAAGAACGCCATGGATGCCACCCAAAATCACTTCCAATCATTCAATTTGTGTAGTTTCACTTTGCTTGAACGCCTCCAAAACAATCAAACTCATGATTGAAAAACCAGCGATAAATGGTTTAGTAGGGTGCACGCATGGCTACATCAAATGTAAGTTCTTACTCCGCAACACAAGTGTTGGCCAACAAAATGCACAAATTTGTGGGCGGAAAAAAACGCGATGTTGCCAAACATCTACTTGTTTTGACAAGCAAAGAACACCTAAAAAACAACTGTTTTGGTGGCAAAGAAACCTTTCTCTCCACAAGGGCCATCTGGACCCTGGGCTCCTTCTGCATATTTCCCTTTGCTGGGTTTTGTGAATCCCGTTGTCATGAGCTCGCCGCTGCTTAGACCCTAGGACAGGAGAACTCAAGCACGCGCAAGCGTTTGACCCCCGATTAAAAAGACAAGCACGAACAATGTAATTCAAAACACTACAAGATGTTGGGTCAGCTGTCCAAAAATAGTAAATCAAACACAAACTACCACGCCTAAACAAAAAACAAGTACCGGTTCAAAATCAGTAGCACGAGTAGCAGTAGTAGTAACAATAATAAAAGCAGTAGTAGTAGTGGTAGTGGTAGTTGTTGTGGTAGTGGTGGTAGAAGTAGTAGCTACTACTTCTACCACCACTACCACAACAACTACCACTACCACTACCACTACGACTACTACTACTACTACTACTTCTACCACTACCACTACCACTACCACTACCACTACCACTACCACTACTACTACTACTACTACTACTACTACTACTACTACTACTGTTGTCTACTACTACTACTACTACCACCACTACCACTACCACTACTACCACCACTACCACTACCACTACCACTACCACTACCACTACCACTACCACTACCACTACTACTACCGCTACCACTACCACTACCACTACCTACTACACTACCACTACTACTACTACGACGACTAGTACTAGTACTAGTAGTAGTAGTGGGTCAGTAGTAGTAGTGTTCGTTGTCGTGGTCGTGGTCGTGGTCGTCGTGGTCGTGGTCGTCGTGGTCGTGGTCGTGGTCGTGGTCGTGGTCGTGGTCGTGGTCGTGGTCGT